CTGAGGTTTTAAATGCAGGACATTGATACTGTGAGTATGAAAATATCTCGGTGAATAAGCAGGGGGAAGGCGAGGGCTCTGAATTTTTACTGAAAGGGAATTGCTTGAGAACCCGGTGGATTTTATCTGTGGAAAAATAAGGAGAGAGAACCGTGGAGACACCAGGGCTCCCCACACTTAACAGAGATTTTTAGAATGCCAACAAGTGCGGTCTCCAGGCAGCCACTCAGCTGGTCTCCGGGACTGTGCCCTGGAGTCACACAGGATGGTTAAGGTGAATACGGTAAAGTAAGGTCTTAGGACAGCCGACTGCTGAGCCTGTGGTCTGGACTTCCTGTGGTGGAAATATAAAAAAGGAAAAGGATTTGGTGTTTTATTTCTTTGGTCCTGGGGTCCCCAACTTGCTGGTTGAGGCCATAGGCAGTGTCGTGGTGCTGCTGATTGGTGCCACTCAGCTGCCCAAACACCTTGTTTCTCTCATCTCCTTAGAGGAGTCAGGTCCACTGCTGAAACGCCCAGTCATGGGAGGGGCAGCAGGCTCTTCTGCAGGATTCTCATCTGCTGCAGCATCTTCTGGCATTTCGAGGTAGTAGAACTCAGAGTTAAGACCACAGGCTCTAACATCATGACCAGATTTAATGTTTCCTAGATCCATGACCTTGGGTAACTCATATCTCTAAGCCTCAGTTTCCTCATCTGTAGAATATAGACAATAATATTACCTCTCTTAGGCTACTGCAAGAATTGAATGCTATAAGATAAATCAAGTGTTCGGTAGCATGTCTGGCATAGGAAAGTCTTAATAAATTACTATTACCATTGGCCAAAGGACAAAAGGGTTGATACCAGAGGTTGGTGATACCAGAGCACTCACTGAGGTTGTGTTTGATATAGTAGACAGTTAATTCTTCATGGGTATTCTGACCGTGATTTTGTTTCCCTTCAGTAGGTAAGTGCTACTCATATTCAACATTAGCACAATAGATTGGTTTGAGCTTTCTGTCACACAGTCTGGAAAGAAATCTGTTGCATGAGCTATAAACTACTGTAACCTTTCACTATACCTCAAAGAAATGACCCTAAATCACTTTTAAAATAAATTTTGTTTAAGCTAGACAGTAAGTAGATCGTAAGAGAGTGGCTAAGTAATTTTAGAGCATGTCAATGATTGAATATTACCATTTCAAATGACCTGTATATGGGAGCTAGAAATGTATAAATGGCATAATGTCAGCTGAAAAAGAACACTCCAAAATAGCAGTTGATTACAGTCCAATGTACAGATGATACCACATCTATGTAGATTAACAAAGAATGAGAAACTTTCAAGGGACAGACTCTCTAAATTTTTTCTCCAGTTTTTTTCTCCAAAATTGCTTTGGTCTATGAAATATTTTAACAGTGAATAAAGAACACAAAATGTTCTGTAAAGTCTTTCTGGGCAGTGCAAATGAAATTTAAGTAATTATAAGGATATAGCTAAGGTATTCCCTTGACTATAACAGGGAGACAAAAAAAATGAGTAAGCCCATAGTAGGTGAGGGCATATATCAGAATGATGACAAAATAAACCTGGAACACTTTACTCAAAGACATTCTACCTGCACAGCAACATCTTTTTACAAAAAACTAAGACCCAGAAAAAAACACAATAAAAATTAAATCCAAAAAAACAGAAGACAGAAACTAAGACCAGCCCACCCCACCTCTCTGCCAAAAGTCAAAACCCTGTAAGTAATCCGCAGACAGGTCTTTACAGACTAGGGAAACACACACTGAATAGGAATTGGGCCTTCGTGGAAAAAAATTTCCTCACTCTGCCTGACCCAGGACCAGTTCTGCCCACTTTCAAAAGCTTAACTGAGTGGAGTATGAAGCCCAAGTGAAGCTCTCATCACTCTGGCCGTGGTCCCGCTTTATTCTCGCCAGCACCGGTGGCTGTTAGGCTAGGTCTCTGTGAAGCTCAGTGGACAGAAGTACAGGTCTCTTGGTGAGATATCTTGAAATACTAGTAGATTTAATTCAGTCTGAACAATGTGAAACAGTTTCACAAGTAGGAAGTGTCTTTTTAATCTGTTTATTATAATGTAAAATCACAAAAAAATGAGGGTAAAAGGCTCTCTTCAAGTTTTGATGAATAAGCTCTCATATGCAACTTGTTCTTTCAGTTGGTCATTTGTGGAACTAAACTGTAAAACCAAGAAAAAAAGCTTATTCATTGATTTAATTTTTTGTGAGTTTAGCAGCAGGATCACTACCCAGAATTCTCTGGGAAGGTGATTTTAGAATGGCTGGTCTGGCCCATTCATTTTGTCTTTAGTGGCAGCCTTCCTTGTGATTCATCTTTGTTTATTTGTGTTATTTTAAACTCTTAGTGTAGCAAAATAAAATTTCTTTTTGTTATCAAGCCTTGTCTTCCCAGCAGAACTGAGGAATATTTCTGCACATCCTTCTCCCCCACCTCCTCTAGCCAGCTTGAGCAAGTGATAGCAAGTGAGTGAAGGAAGACTGCAGACAAATCCAAAACAGTAGTGGTAAAAAGCAAAGTCTTATTTTAGTTTTGGAAACCTCTGCCAAAAGAGAAATTGCTAAGCAAAACATTTCCGAAGGGCAGAAAAATTTGAAGTGAGATGACTTGGTTCTAGTCTCAGCATTCCCTCCAGCTAGTTTTGCCCTGCAAGCTGGTAACAGAGGACCTCTCCAACTGACAACCTCAACAGTCAGCAAGGGGGTAGGACGAGCTCACTTTTAAAATACAGTTCTAACCTTCAGTGATTCTCATTCCTGTACTTGCTAGTTTCCTGCCTTCCTGAGAAGTGGTTAGGCCCCATGCTTTGTGTAGCCATTGGCTCTGACCTTGGTGGATTACCTCGACATTCTGGGTCTTCCCTGGCCAGTCAGGCGTGAAGAGGGTAGAGATGCCCGGCTGCTTCCTGCCTGTCTCACTGGGGTTGTAAAGGCCAGTGCAATTTTATGAAGGCTGACTTCCTCCAAGGAAGATCTGCCTGAGTAAAATATTTCGGTACTTCAGCTGTAATTAGTGCTGTAAATTCAGGAATCATGAGGGATGAGAAGAGAAAGAGCAGGTGTAAGTATGCCTCATATTTATGATAATGGAGTGGAAAGAGGCCTTAGAAGCTATCTAGGGACCCACTTCATTTACAGATAAAGACATGGAAACCGAGAAAGTTTAAATGGTAAACTCTAGGCCATAAGCCTACTAATGTGGTGTGGTTAGAGTTCGAGCCTGCATCTCCCATCTGAAGCCCATGGTTCTTTCTGCTACATCAAAACAGAGGCCCTGGAACTAGCTCTTGGTTTTCAAAACCTTCAACGGGATGGCTCTGGAAACATGAGCATGTATGCACAGTCTAGTCTGATTCAGTGCAGGAAAATTACCTGTAGAGTCATTCCTTGTAGGCTACGTGTTAACACTGGTCAGGTAAAAAAAAATACCCAGCAATCACATCACCCTCAAAAGTCCACTTTCCCACGCAACTCTCACTTCATCAGAGGACTAGCGTCAGTCTGCTTCGAGACAACTTGGCAGGCGCTAGTACAAGGGAGCACAGAGAAACATCACAATCCCATTTCAAATAGCCCAGGTTAGTCTGGCTTTCTTCGCCTAGGTCAGGTGCCTGGAACGCCAGCCACAAGTGTCTCACTAGTGAGAAAACGCTCGGACTCAGCGTGGAAGTGGAGGGAGAATGTGGTCTGCCATCTTTATCTCCCACCCTGCTCATCTTGTGTTCAACCCGGATTTCCAGACTTGTGATCTCTAGTTCTTTTCTTCAGGACATTGGTTATCATTTCATTTATTTATTGAACACATATTAATTCAGCATTAACTATATGTGGCACCCTATAGTAGGCACAAAAGGGCCAGAGAGGGCCCTTAAAATCCCAGAGCCTTTGTGTTTTGGGGGTCTAGGATTCCTTCTGTAATGTGGTACAGAGTTGGGCGTGTATAAATGTACATTCATCTTGGGAGAGGTCCTTTGATCAAATCTGCTACCCTATAACAATTAAGAACCACCTCAAGGGTGGACGCTAGAACTTTACTTCATGCACCTGCTGTCCCAGTCAGGTGCCCTCATCCTACTCACTGAGTCCAGATCACGAGGCTGACTGAGTGTGAACAAGTGAGGCATGTCTGCCCAGAGCGCTGGTATTTTCTACTGCACCTCAGGAAGCTGTGCCTCCTCTCTTCTGTGGATTCTGCCCCAAGCATTAATGCCCTCCTGCATGTCCTGGCTTAGCAGGTTTAACCCCAGACCCCAGAGAGCCCTGGAGAGGCCACAGGTGTGACATGTAGACAGAGGCCAGGCCACTCCTGGCTCTTGAAGACTTTTTCATTCAGCCCTTGCACGTCCTGACCATAGTGACCCTGCCGCTAGTCCGGTTCAAGAATTTCCTATTTATTCTCTCGAGAGTCCCACTCCGCCCACTGTGCTGAAGGGTTCTGTGGTTCCTGAGCAGCTGCCTGGGGATCACTTTGGGTATATGGCTATCCCACAGTGTTCAGGCGACACCTGGTGTCCTCTCTGCTACTGCTGTGGAAGTTGTTTTGCAGAAGGAAGGCCTGGTAAATGCCTCTGGTGAAACCCTTGGTCCAGTTCAGCATGCCGTTTGATACAGAAATTCAGAATGTCATTGCTAGTTAGTGGGAGAGGAACAGGGTGTCAAGACAAACAGTAGTCAGGAGGTAAAGAAAGGAAGTTTAAATAAGTGTATTTTCATGTTAAGTCACTGATTGGAGTTTCCACTGGTATTTGAGGAAACATCATTTTTAAAGTTGTAATAAAGAAGTTAAATAAAGGAAGGCAATTACTCATTCAGAAAAGAAAAAGACGCAGCGTAGCCAGAGCTGAGGCTTCAGGGAGGCAGGCGTTGAAAGATAAGCACTTCCTCCTTGCCTGTTGTATGTGAGCATGGCATGAGTGTGTGAGACGCGCTTGCTACAAATGATGTGCTGAGTTCTATTCTTTCTCCCTCTGCAGAGAGGAGACACGCTTCAATGTGCAGACCTTCTTCCTCTCCAGCGTCTCCGCCCTCCAATTCCAGGACACCACTAGGACAGGTGAAAACAAAAGCCTGTCTCAGCGGCCATAACTCTGCCAGCAGCACCTCAAAGCCATTCAAAACGCCCAAAGACAATCTACTTACCTCCAGCAAACAGCACACAGTCTTTTCTGCGAAAGGATCAAGGGACAAACCATGGTAAGTGTCCGGTGCTGGCAGCCAGCGGCTCTCTGTCCTCGCTCCTTGCCCCTGTCACCACAGGGAACAGTGTTTACCCTCTGGCTTAGGTCCCAGACGTCATGTCTAAGGAGGGCAAGGACAGAAAACCCACACGATGGGGTGAGGAATCAAAACATTGGAGGGAACACCGGACCTTAAAGTGCCATATGCGTGACAGGAGAATTTTTCTGCTCCTAAGAGCTGAGCCAGGTTGTGTCTAAGAAAAGGGTACTGGGGAAATATTCCATGTTGATACGCTCACCTCTCAATCTTCCACCCCAGTGAAGAGAAGCTTTGGTGTAAATAATCAGAAGCACAGTCAGTCTGCTCAGCAGGGATGCAGATCAGGCCTGTGGTCTGGGGAGGCAGGGGGCCCCCTGCACAGCCTCCCTCCTGCGAACAGTGGGGTCTCCACTCCTGGAACAGCTGCCAGCAGAGGCAGGTGATTGGGAACTGACCACAGGAGGAAAAGAGCAAATCTGAAGAGAATGGCACCCTTTTGTTGGGTGGGACAGAATTGGCTGCAGGTGACTGAAAAATCAGAGGCTTTTAATTCACTTTTTTTAATCTCAGTCTTCACCAAAAAGTCAGAAAAGGTTACCTGTGGAATGGACAGGCAGGAAACTAAGGTGAAAATAAGAACAGGAAGAGGATGAACTCAGGCAGACCTCAGGGGTGTTGTGGGTGCCAGACCACCGCAATGAAGCGAGTATCAACAAAGTGAGTTATAATCTTTGTAATGATAGAGGATCTTGCCTTCAATTTGTACAAAATGCAAAATCTGTGAAGCGTGGTGAAGCAAAGCACAGTAAAACGGGGTATGCCTGAGGCCTGTATCTTCAAATGCTGAGGGACCCAACTTGGAAAACTTACCGATGGCCTTATTACAGGGCCCCTAGCTTTATCTTTCCGGGATCGTTGTGGAGTCTGGTTTATATATTTAGAAAAGGAAAAAAATATTCTGTTTATCAGCGATAGTTAATTATACTTAAGTTTATACCTAAAAAAGCCAGGGACTAAAATCAAGTGTCACTCGGTTTGTCACTGCACACTAGAAATTATGATGACTTTATAAAGAACTAATAATGCCAGATCAAGTAAAGAGCCTCGTGACAGAGTGGAAAGGTTTAGCCACAGCTGTCAAGGAGGGGAGTCACCCGTCATGCCAGGTGACTTGTGGGCCTTGTGGACAAGCTCTGCTCTCTTCTGATCATTAGGATCTCAGGCCCAACCTGTAGGAGGATGTAGCTGGTTAGGAAGGAGCCTGAGAGTGACAGTGGCCTTGGTGCTGGGCCTCTGGGAGTGAGTATTTCTCTAATCAGTGACCTTGGAAAGCACTTGAAGATTGTTTGTGGAGGTAACATCACGTGTCCTGCTGTAAGCGCAAGCTCCAGAATTACTGCCTGTGTACGAATCTCAGCTAGGTGACTTTGGACAAGTTGCTCAATCTTGGTTGCCTCAGTTTTACTCATCTGTAAAATGGGCTAATAATAGTGCTATCCCACGGGATTGTGATGAGGATTCAGTAAGCTATATTTGATACAATCAGCAAGTGCAATGTCTGGAGCACAGTACATATTTGATAAATATTTGAGATAATCTTATCACAGTCATCTGTATCAAATGTGCCAAAGGACAGAGCTCCTGTAACTGGAATAAAGGTTGAGAAGTCAAATCTCCCTGAAAAAGTAGAGAAGTGGCTCTGACTCTGACTGAATTTGAAAATTGAAAAGGATAAAATCGTTCAGAGTCCAGAAGTGAACTACAGAGATACCCAATAAGGAAAGCTAGGCAAGGGGCTCAGGAGGAATAAGCTGAAAGGAGATTCCAGGTTAACAAAAGATCATAAAATGAAGACAAGAAATGATCAGTGATAAACGTGGCCCCAGGGAGGTGAGCCTGGGCACCAAGAATCCTCCCAGTGGGCGAGCCTTTGGGGAGACCACTGGGATTAGGTCAGTCTCCACCTTTGATTCAACTAACTCAACACACACTTGGTAAGACCTGTCGTGGGCGAGGCCCCTTCAGCTAGAGGCAGAAGGTACTTACGAACGAATTTGAAAAATCTAACCAGGGCCCAAAGAAAAACAACCAAAAGAAGTACAAGGAAGGAAATACGTTATAGGAAAAAGACCCCAAAAACAAGAGCACTTGCCTTGTGTGAAGAACAGAAAGCTAATGGGTGGGCAGTTTACCTCATTCGAAGTAGGTAGATATTCTGAAGACGGACCCAGGGGTGCACCACAAAGGAAGCTCAGCGCTGGCTGCAGCGGTCTCCTGCCTAACCTCACCTTCAGTCTGCCAGGCTGCAATCCCCATACCCACCATCACAGACACGTGCTGAGAAGGCTGGCAAGATTAGGCTTGGAGACTTACAGGGCTCAGCCTCAGCTCAGGGAAGCTTCCCAGAGAGCAGTGTGGAAGAATGGGCACACAGCTTGAGGCAAGAAAAGCCGGTTCAAGGGAGTGCTCTTCTAGTGGCTAGGTGGGACGCTGCCTGCTCCATGAATCACTTAATAAAGCCAATTTAGAACTTTTAAAAAAAAGAAAAGAAAAGCCAGTTCAGGTTCCAGTTTGGTCACTACTTCCTGTGTGACCTTGAACAAGTTATTTCTTTGAGTCTTGTTTTCAAGCCTGAATATTTTGTGATTCTAAGTCATAATATTCCCTCAAAATTTCTCAAAGCTTCCTGAATTAAAAGTTTAGCCCCTCAGCCCCACATAAGGGACTCTTTACAAACTGCCTCTAAACCCCTAATCCAATCCTGATCATACAGTACCATCCCATTACTCCGGCTTCCCCAATAAAATTTCCCCTGGTACCTTTGCCTAGAATATCCATCGGTCTTTACTCAGCCACTTAATGAGCACGTGTTATAGCAGTATGTGTCAACTCTCCAACAAGTACTGGGGTTATATGGGGCCCACTGATGTTATCCATGGAACATTTATGCCAATAGAAAAAAGCCTGGATACAGTTCAGAACCAGGTACACAGTGGGCCAGTGGTCATCCCCTACTCACTTCCTCATTCAGGCATTCCTAGTATAATGCATAACCTGTACAACTGCACACTGCAAAGTTAAATAAGACAGTCGCTGTCTTAGGGAGTCTATAAAAAGACAAGCGAGCACAGAGTACAGTGTGACAAGAGCTAAGATACTAGAACCACAGAAGGTCACCTAACCCAGGATGAGGACTCAGAAAGGGTTTTCAAAAGAGGTCACACAGAGCTAATTTGAAAGATAAGTAGAAATGAGCTACACAAAGAAAACCATACTAGAATGGTAAATATTAGATTATATATATTTTTACCACAATTAAAAAAAAATTAGCCCTGGCTGGTGTAGCTCAGTGGATTGAGCGCGGGCCTGCAAACCAGACAGTCGCGGTTCGATTCCCAGTCAGGGCACATGCCCAGGTTGCAGGCAGGTTCCCTGCAGGCCATTTCCCAGCAGGAGATGCACAAAAGGCAACCATACATTGATGTTTCTCTCCCTCTCTCCTTCCCTTCCCCTCTAAAGATAAATAAATAAAATCTTTAAAAAAATTTTTAAGAAAGTGGGAAGCGTATTCCAAGCAAAGGAAACAGAGTGTGCAGAAGTATGTGCATGAGGGGGAGGCAGATGAACTGGATAGGTGGGCTGGGTGGGTTATAAAGTTCCACCGCATGCACTAAGTTCAGGAATTTCGACTGCCCCCTGAAGCCGCGTGGAGCTGTTAAAGGAGTAGTTTTTAGTTGTAGTGAGATCACTCTGCCAGTGTTATGAAGGATGGCTTGCCACTCAGGAAGCAGCAAGAACAGTGAGGATGCTTTGGTGTGATCCAGGGGAGGCCTGGTGACAGCCTGGGCCAGGCAGTGGTAGTGGGCATGTGCAGAAAGGGCCGGATGGGAGAGATATTTAGGAGGAAAATTCCACAGGACTTTGGAGCTGGTTGTATGGAGGTCTTGCAGTAAAAGGGGTGAATTGAGGATGATGTCTATGGTTTTGACTTGGACAACTGGGTGACTAGTCCTGTTACTTCCTCAAGAGAAGGATAGAAAGGTCCAGAGTTTAGGGTGGGAAGGAAAGGGTTAGTTCAGCTGAGAAGTCAATGGAGTTTGAAGTATCTGAGAAACACCTACAATCTACATAGGGATGCTGGTGGGCATTGAATGTAAGGACCCAGAGGTCAAGAGAAGGAAATGTGTTGGGAATGGAGATTTTAATGCTGCCATTGTAGACATGGGCATTGAAGCCATAGGTACTCATGGGCCCTCCCAGGAAGCTATGAGGCCTGAGAAGAGCAGGGGCCAAGGTCAGGGCCCTAGAGAATGGGGGTCTGGGGAAGAGGAACCTGAGGAAGTAGGGACTGCTAAGCCAGAGTTCTTTACACAGCATTCTGTGTCCTCTTTCTTGGTCCACATCCTCACCGATCCTCACTCCCCATACCACTGGCCACCTTTCTCTCGAAGCCTTTCTCTCATCCCTTCCTCCTTGTCAGCCACCTGATATGCCGGTGTCTCTTTTTAAGCCCAATGGCACTTCATTTTTACATTACCTGTGACTCTTTGCGATGCCACAGACTATTCCTTCTGCTCAGTAGTAATTGCCAGACCTCCTACATAGTAGGTCCTCATATTCAGCAAACACAGGCCACTTATCAGTAAGTATTTGCTGAATCGAATGAAATTGATCTGATCATTGAAATGGATTTTAAGATTTACATTCCTGGAGGCTGTAACTGTTTATCTGCAGTTGTTTAGACTAGCACTATACAGTGGGCATATAATATGTGCCACACATGTAAATTTTTAAAAATTCTTACCCAAGAACATGCTTACTGATTTTAGAGAGAGGGGAAAGGAAAGAGGGAAAGAAGGAGAGAAACATCCACATGAAAGAGAAACATCAAACATTTGCCTATCATACCTTGTATGTTATCCGATCGTGCCCTGACCAGGGACCAAACCCACGACCCAGGAATGTGCCTGGACTGG